TGTTATGTGCCGTCGAGTCAAACCCGACTCATAGCGACCCCTCCTTGGGTTTCTGAGGCAGTATCACTACAGAAGTAGGATTGCCCAACCTTCCTTCCGGGGAGTGGCTGGTGGGTTTGAACCGCCAGCCATCTGGTTAGCAGGCAAGTGTCTTAGCCATTATGCTACCAGAGCTCCCAAACTAACAGTAGCAGCTAAAATAAATCCATTTTTAACAAATCTTTATAACTGTCAGCACAAATATACCTAATTTACCATGATGCATAAAAATGAAAATTTATCTACCCCCAAATATACAGTAACACATGCAAACAAAAGGTCATCAATGCATCATTTAGATAAAATGTTGCATTTACTTTCTCCATTTCATTTATACAGTGATCCTCTTATCAATGAGATTATTAACTTTATAATCACACAATAGATTTCTAGTTCAGGACAACTCTGTAAACACTTGTCCATGTCAGCTTTTAATCCTCTTTCAGACATACTCTGGCCAAACCCTTGATTTTATCTGCAGTATTAGTCTAAGTCTCCTCTGCTTCTGTCAAAAGCCTGGTTAAGACATGTCCATAAGGGAAAAATAAAATTGGAAAACAAATGTAAACTTCGTATTCTTTGAAGTTCTTCAAGCTTTATCCCAGTGTTAAACTTGAGCATCAGAAAAGCTCAACAGCTGATCTTGACAAAGTTACAATTCCACATTGAAACCTTCTGGATTTTTTTCTTTTTAATGAAATGGTTTTCAAAGAAAAGATCCGTTATGTTGCTCAACACCTTTTACATAAAGACTCTTATGATAAATACCTCTTAGAAGTGAGGATCAGTGAAGACATTTTAGATGAATTGTGAAGTATTCCTCTAGGCTGTGAGCACTATATAGCCTACTCTGTTTTTGAGTTTACCTAGACAATAGTCTTTCTCAGTCAAAGTGATTTTTATATTTAAAACCAAGTAGTATTTAAACTTTTTAATTCTTTGCTAATAATTGTTGGTCTTACTCTTTCCTCTGATTTACATTTTTTATAAGCTGCTTTGAATGAAATGTGTGTGTATAATCTATTTATATACTTTTTTCCTTTAAAGTCCCTTTCCTAAGGATTTCTTAAATTTTGGCTATTCCCCAAATGTATATACATGTCTATCTGCACTGTACATGCTCACAGGCTGTGTCCCAAACTTCCTGGCAGCCATAAGCCGAGGAATGAGACACAGACTCTATAGGCGTCAGCTATTCTCTGGGTGCTACACGCATCTGTGATTCCCTAGACACTTACCAATGTTGGCAAAGTGAAATTCATTATGATTATTTACAGAAAGCAAACATCAGACAGTAACAGCACGTTCTCAAAAGAGAACAACTTATTCTTCCCCAAATTCCCCACATCTATTCTTAGGTTGCTGGGAAATTGCAAGGTGGTTCAGGTTAGATGCTGTGTTCACATCACTGCTGCCTCTGGCTATACCATGCTGCTTGGGGGGTCTGTATGTCTCCCAAGCCTTCTGTTCTGCCATGGGGCCTTGCTGGGCCTCACTGCAGGCTGGAAGACCCCTGCACAGGATCTCCCAAGCCTCTGCCGCTGGGCTCCTCTAAGCCTCTGCAGCTGATTCCTGCCACACTCTCATGGTGCTCAGGTAACACTATCCAAGCCTGTGGGTCTCTCTTGCTGCCACACTACCTGGACCCCAGCTGCCAAGAAGGGAGACATGATGGCACACACTCAGCCTTCTCTTTTCTTGCACAAGCAAATGTTACAATTATTTAAGTTCCACTGGCAAGCCTCCTGCCCAGAGTGTCCTGCTCCTCCCTGTTGTAGGAAGTCCCCTTCATGGGCAAGTGCTACAATTCTTTTAGCATTGCCAGCAAATCTCTTGCCTGAAGATGCTCAACACTCCATGGTGAGGCAGGCTCAGCTTGCTGTCTTTTGCCATTTTCAGCATTAGATCTTTTTTCTAGGTCTATGAAGTTCCCGGTGTAGGGATCCTGGGTCTTTTGTCTAAAGGACACACTCTGCTCCAGACTCTTCTTGATGGTAATGAGTTCTCTCTGAATGTCTGTGGGATGAATTTTAAGCCTAGCAGGTTGACAAAACCAACCAATCCCCTTTGTAGGCCACAGTACTCTTATTTGAATAGCCATAGCAAACTGTTCAATTCCTGCAAGGTTTTGACCCTCCTTATTTGCATAGTTCCAATCAATCATTCTATCGGAATTACAAGATCGTGGCTAGAAAGGCTGTTTGAAAGCAAATCACTGCACTGCACCAAATCTCTGGCATCATCTCCTTTCCTGCCCACATCAGTCACCAAGGTTATACTGACCATCTTCCTCTTCTTCTTTTTTTAATATTGTAATTGCTTTTTTTTTTTTTTTTTCCTTTTTAAATTGGGATTTGGGTGAAAATTTACAGAGCAAATTCACTTTCCATTACAGCAGTACACATACACTTTGTCTCATGACATTGGCCACAATTCACCACAATGCAACAGCTCCCCTCCCACTTCCTCCCAACAGTCACCTCTTCCCTGTATCCATCCCTCCATGCATCCCCACCCCCTGAGCTGTCTCCCTGTGCATAAACAGCCCTACTTTTTCCCATGATTGTTCTCTCCAAGGAGTGTATTTACCTCAGGTAGTTGTTGAACTCATATGCCTGTCTTCTGCTTGGCTGGAAGCCACAGGTGTGGTTTCAATTCCAGACCTGAAGGGCAGTTGGAGCCATAGTCTCAGTGATTCCACCAGGCTCTATCAGGCCAGCAAACCTGGTCCCCCTTTTTTTTTTCCCAAATGATTTTGAGTTTTGTTCCACATTGTTCTCCCTCTTTATCCAGGATCTCCTACATAGATTCCCCTCCTAACCCTCTTCTTGAAGATTATTAGGAAAATAAGCCAAATGAATGCTTCATAGAAGTCCCTTAGTAATTAATGCATTTTTGCAATCTGCTAAGTTAAGATTTTATATAATATTCTCTGACAGAAATATTAGTAAGCATATTAAAATGTATTTTTGATGTTTACGGGCTGAAACTTGGATTATATGGTGCTAAAACTAAATACATCATTTTTGTTTAAGGCATAATTGAGTAAAGTAGGTAAAAAAAACCCTAAATCATGTAATCAGTAATTTCAAATTTATTAAATGATATGATTTATGTGGATAACAATCAGTGTTCTGTTTCTATTTCTCTTATTTCAATTTCATATTTAGAATATGGTATCTGTTATTGTTGATTAACTTTTAGATCACAATGAGTTTATACAAAATCAAATTTTATGATTCAAGAACCTGAAATTTAACAGATAAATTTGGACATATCAAATGCCAATTCTTCATTATTTGGATGTGGTCAATGAGTACATTTTTAAAATTTTAGAAATGCTTTAATTCACTGATTTTGTCCATATCTTTTCAAGCCCCCAATTTTGTTAATATATTTTCCCAAGGGGAAGGAATAATATTTATAAGTTAGTATTTATTACTGCTTTCTGTTTTACAACATTTCTAATAGTATCTACTCTCCTTGAATATCCAGAAGCCCTGTTATGTGAGCGCTCATCATTATAGAGATGCTTATGGTACTCAGTACTTGGCCTTCCTTACCATCTCCCTTGAAGGATGTCAGCATATTCTGGCAATGAAGAAGAATCTATTCTTTGGTCACTATCTTGATACTCTTAAGGGATCTTGTGTGTTTTGATTTAGATCTGGGCTTCAGAAGGAATTGCAAATCCAGGTGAGGGAAGAGCTCTAAATAGAGGCCAGCCAAAGATGGGAACCTGCATAAGGTTAACTCAAAATTACCAGAATTCTAGAGAAAGAAAAACAGAGAGTTGGAGGAGAGGAAGGAGAGAGAAGGAGGAAGAGAGGAAGACAGAGGAGGAGGAGGAGACAGGAAAAGGAGGGGCAGACAGCAGGAGGAGGAGAAGGAGGCCATAGAAGGAGGAGAGAGATATCCAGGTGTGGGCAAGGGAGTAGGATTTCAAGAGCAGAGGGAGAGAAAATGGAATTGTTACATCTGGACTTTGGAAACAAGTTTATGTAGGATGGGCACTCTGAAGGGCTTGCTTTCAGAGGAATGCCATTTTGTGACATGTGTAAATTCCAGTATTTATTGGAATTAAAAAAATACCCAACCATATTTGACATAAATGAGGAATATTCAATTCTATCCTCATTTCAATCACCCATTTCAATGCTGCTTGTGTATCAAACAAAGACTATCAAATACCTCACTTCCATAATTCCGTAATTCTTTTACTAGGAAGAAAGTTTATCATGAAACTATTTGCATACTTAATTAATAAGATGATGGAGAATATCATTTTTAATTGATTTTTTTTTTGCAGGTTTGAAACTTTCTAAATGCATTGATTATGATCAGTTGAATGCGTTATGCCACATTACAGAACTGCATGGGTAAGTGATGCATGCATTTCTTTTTCTGTTGTTCCAGTGAATATGAATACATTTGTTTTATGGTTAAAGTATAGTAATAAACCATTGTGGACTCCCATAGGTGTCTGATTTACCACACAGATAAAAGCATTCGAAACCTGGAGGTTATTTCTCCAGATCAAAGGGACAGAACGTGTATGTTATACTTTTAGGGAAACAATTTAATGTGAAGGAACCATAACTCATCCCTGGCTGGACCCTTTCTAATACTTAGAAAGCAGTCATAGGAGGAAAAAATCTTAAGTGGTTGAACACACAAATCTTGAGTGCAATAAGTACTTTAGCAGTGCATAGGGGATGCCTAGTTGAAATATACTGGAGCCAAAGAGCAAGGATATATCACTGCTCTAAGCTCAAGCCTCCTAAGATATGTGATACTTGAAGATATAATTTTAAAAATCTGTTTTCTTGCCAACTCCTTTCTCCAACTTAGACTTTTAAAATTATGTAACTGGTTATTTTCTTCCACATCCATCATTGCTGTCATCCGTCCCCCACAGCTCTTCATGGTTGCCTTCACTTATCAGAGGACCTCGTGTCATTTTTATGGGCAAGATCTGGGATAATGTTGAGAAAATCACTTAGGTTTACAGATTTTTCTTTTTCTACTTTAAGACATCCTTAAGTCACATTCTCTTAACCACTTCATATTATATATCTCCATCGAATCCTTTCCATGTCTTCTTTTCAGAGGAAGGGAAAAGGGCACATTTCTTTGCTATGCCTTGAATTTCCACCAAGTTTTCTACGCAAATCTGAACTCTTCTCTACTCCCAATGCCTTTCAGCAAAGACTGAAGATTTAAGTACATGGATTCAGGAGTCAGATCACCAAATTTGAATTGTAGTTCATTCACTTTGTGATTTTGGGCAGAATACTTTATTTCTCCGTGCCGTTTTCCTCATTTGTAAAATGAAGATGACAATAATAACGTCCCTTTCAACAGGTTGTTATTAGGACTAAATGAATGAATATATGTAGGTTGAGTAGTGTCTGACATATAGTAAACCAAAAACTAAACCAAACTCACTGGCGTGGAGTCGAATCTGACTCATAGCGACCTCTCCTTGGGTTTCTGAGGTGGTATCACTATGGAAGTAGATTGCTATGTAAATGTTAGCTGTTTTTTTTTTTTTTTTTTTTTTAATTTTTAAAATTTGAAATGGGATCTATAGCCTCACATTTTAATAAAATTAAAAACATTGATTCTCAAATGCTGTATGTTCTGTACTTGTATTTATATTAATGACATTTTTACATGTTTAATATGTTATTAACAGTAGGCCCAGAGCTTTGCATATATTATTTCTAACTACTACAACAATCCTACAGGGTAGGTAGTCCTTTTTCTAGAGAGAAAAATATAAATGAGAAGTTTAAATATCATGTATAAAGTTCAACCACAACCTCAATTTTATACGTATATCAGATAATGGTTCTCAACGCTGAGCGGAACTCCAGTTAGTTTTCTTCCATAGTTCATCATTTTTCTCCCTCAGTCAGCTTAGAGGAGATAAAATTCTATGACATATCTGTCTATAAGGTTCAGATTCAGTCTTAAAGTCATATCTTTGGTGTTAGCTGTGTCAAAAGAGATTTTTTTATTTTTTCCTCCAGAAACTTTACGATAATGCAAAGTGTGAGATTTAGTCTTAATGATTAACTAATTCCAATAGCATTTAAACATCTTTAAAGAAATATAACTTTGAAGCCATAAAGTCATTTGCTAATGAGCTTTATTCATAGATAAGAAAGGTAATTGAATGAATTTATAACTAAAAACTAGCTTTTACAATTTTTTTTAAAAGTATAAAGGACACTGAATAGAGGAACACGTTATAATGGTATTATCTGAAAATATTTCTGATTGAATGATTTTTCATTTAGGTCAAGCACATGTTAAATGTAAATGTTGTTGCTGTTATGTGCTGTCAAGTCACTTTTGACTCATAGTGATCCTGTGCATAACAGAAGGAATCATTACCCAGTCCTGCACAATCCTCACTATCATTGTCATGCTTGAGTTTATTGTAACACGCACTGCGTCAATCCATGTCATTGAGGGTCTTCCCATTTTTCACCGACCATCTACTTTACCAACCATAATATCCTTTTCCAGAGACTATTTCCTTCTGACAGTATGACCAAAGTGTGAGAGAAGTCTGGGTATTCTCACTTCTAAAGAGCATTACTGCTGTACTTCCTCCAAGACAGATTTGTTCATTTATCTAGTAGTCCATGGTACTTATAATATTCTTTGCTAACACCTCAATTCAAATGCATGAATTCTCCTGTGGTCTTCCTTTCTCATTGTTGAGCTCCCACATGCCTATGAGGCTACCGGAAATACCATGGCTTGGGTCAGGTACACCATAGTTTTCAAAGTAACATCTTGGGTCTTTCACACTTTAAAGAGGTCTTTTACAGCAGATTTGTCCAATGCAATATGATGTCTGACTTCTTAACTGCTGCTTCTATGGGCGTTGATTGTGCATCCAAGAGAAATAAAGTCCTTGACAGCTTCCACCTTTTCTCCACTTATCATGATGCTTATTAGTCTAGTTGTGAGAATTGTTTTTTCTTTATGTTAAGGTGTAATCCATACTGAAGGCTGTAATCCTTGATTTACACAGTAAGTGTTTTAAGTCATCTTCACTTTCAGCAAGCAAAGTTGAGTCATTGGCATATTGCAGCTTCTTAATGAGTTTTCCTACAGTCCTGATGCTGTGTCCTTCTCCATATAGTCCAGCTTCTCAGATTATTTGCTCAGCATACAGATTGAATAAATATGATGAAAAGATACAACCCTGATGCATACCTTTCCTAAATTTAATCCATCAGGTATCCCCTTGTTCTTTTTGAAGGGCTGCCTCTTGGTCTCTGTACAAGTTCCTCATAGGCACAATTAAATTTCTGGAATTTCCATTCTCAGTGTTATCCATAACTTGTTATGATCCACATAGCCTAAAGCCTTTGAACGGTTAATAAAGCATAGGAAAAAATCTTTCTGGTATTCCGTACTTTCAGCCAAGATTGGTCTGACATCAGCAATGATACCTCTTGTTCCATTTCCTCTTCTGAATCTACTTGAATTTCTGTCCTTCCCTGTTGATGTACTGCTGCAACAGTTATTGAATTATCTTCAGTGTAATTTTACTTGCATGTGATATAGATCTCTTCCAGTTAGTTGCCAGGTGGCTGTTTTCCAAATTTCTTGACATAACAGAGTGAGTGCCTCCAGGACTGTACTCATATGTTGAAACATCTCAATGGGTATTCCATCAATTTCTGGAGTGTTGTTTTCACCAATCCCTTCAGTGCAATTTGGACTCTTTTCCTTCAGTACCACTGGTTCTTGATCACATGCTACCTTCTGAAATAATAATGTCAACAAGTTATTTTTGGTGTAGTGACTTCATGTATTCCTTCCATCTTCTTTTGATGCTTCCTGCATTGTTCAATATTTTGCCCATAGAATCCTTCAATATTACAACTTGAGGCTTGAATTTTTTTCTTAATTTCTTTCAGCTTAAGAAATAATGAAGGTGTTCTTCTATTTTGACTTTCCAACTTCATATCTTTGGACATTCATTGTAATACTTTGTGTCCTCAAGCTGCCCCTTGAAATCTTCTGTTGAGCTCTTCTTTATTTATTGTTCCTTTTATTTGCTTTAGCTATTCTCTGTTCAAGCTCAAGTTTCAGAGTTTCTTCTGACATCCGTTTTGGTCTTTTCTTCCTTTCCTGCCTTTTTAATGACCTTTTGCTTTCTTCATATGTGTTGTCATTGATGTCATACCACTTATCTGGTCTTCTGTCACTGGTGTTTGATGCATCAAATCTATTCTTCAGATGGTGTGGAAATTCAGATAGGATATATTCAAGGTTATATATTAAGTCTTATGAACTTGTAAATTTAAATATATCCGTATAATTACAGGACATTTTTTCAGCTCCTGTTATAATAAAGGGATGAAATTTATCCTTTTACATGTATGTGCATATATATACCTATAGATACCACCACACAGACACACATAAAATTAGTTTAATTCATGTCAAATTGGGCCTGCCCCCTTCTTATATGCAAGAATAGCATTCATATTTCTTTCAGTTTTCATCACATAAATGTGCAATGCTACAACATTTATAAGATAATTTCGTGAGAAAACAATCTATAGAAGGTTGATTGGATTCAACTTTTATGAGTGGTGTTAATTAATTTAAAGTAAAAACTGCCTCAGGAGAAACACATAAACACTACAATTAATCAATAAGTATTGTATAAGAGCTTATTATCTTCACTGACCTGTAAGCAGAACTGACTTTGTTGCAGAAGAAATACTGTATTAGTTTTGATAATTCTAGCTGCCATAGAAAAACTTTAAATCTTAGTAGCTTAACAAAATACAAGTTTATTTCTTCTTTACATCAATACTCAAATGAGTAATTTTGATCTGCCAGCTGTTCTAGTTTAAGAACTCAGCTCCTTCCAAACATTTGCTCTGCCAGCTTCATTACTTGTCTTCCAAGATCATGATACTCCTTTGCTTGAAGATGGAAGGAGAAAGAGCATGGAGAATCTTCTGTGGGTAGGTTGTTTTATCAGGGTAGGGGATCTTGATGAGTACTGAGTGTGGTGCGTATCCCTTCTACTCCCTGTTCCACATTTTGTAGGCTAGAACTCAGCCATGTGACCGACCATACCTAACTGCAAGGAAAGTTGGGAAAAGTAGTCTAGTATCACAGGAAGAAGATGCAGATTTGAGATTGCAAAGTGCAATCTTTGAGATAAGAATATAGTCATTGAATATTAGAATTGGAACTGCTCTTATTAGTTAGACAACATAAATTTTGCAGATCTGGAAACGAGGTATATAAAATTTAAAAAATCTTCCTAAGTTTATATAAAAATGAAGTAGCAAAATTAATACTCTAATCCAGTTCATCTTGACTCCAAGACTAGGATTTGCCCACTTCTCATCAATAGCACAATTTAATAAAGTGACAACACATGAGAAGCAGTCAGAAAACCCTGCTAATATAGGGTCATTAATTGTGGTTCCTTCCTCTGGCTTGTGGTAGTGTACTTGCTGTACAGTCTAAACACTTGTTTTAATTAAGCCACATTGCACTTAAAAATTTTCTTAATTTACTAGCATTTAAAAATAATAAATTTTCACATAATAGTACAGATTTCTGGTTTCTTAAAAATCAAAAACAGCAAAACTGACTACATTGGACCTATATTGTTGTTGTTGTTATGTGCTGTTGAGTCGGACCCAACTCATGGTGGACTTTCCTTGGATTTCCAAGGCAGTATCACTATGGAAATAGATTGCTTAACCTTCCTTCCGAGGAGTGGCTGGTGGGTTTGAACCACCGGCCTTCTGGTTAGCAGTCAAGTGTCTAGGCACTATACTACCATATTAGTGTAAGACAAAAATAGGATTAAGAGGCAAGTTTTAGCCCCCAGATTATCTCCAGTTCACTACAGTACTCACCTAGCCTGTATCACTCATGATAACTTCATGACCACTGTAAGCATTTGATTTTATGATCCTGAATATAGATCATTTTGGAAGAGCTCTAGAGTTTTGGTATGTAAGACTATAGCTTTTGGATATATCTCCCTTTCACCCACTTGAGGAAGTTGAAGTTCCTTCCTTATTGGGTGAGCTTTTTGTAGGTGAACTTCAATGAAGTGCTGAGTTCTTTGTCTGCAGTATATTGTTCATAGTTGGTATTTATTCACAATCTGGGAAATCATCAGAACTATCTTATGGGCAGTATATAAATGCCAGATAGTTAGTTGAGTCATGACACCTACTCTCCAACCTTATTATAATTCTCTACCTTTTCCTTGTCCCTAATGTTCTCATTATATTTATTGTCTTCCCTAATCCAGTTCTCTTATGCATATTTAGATACATTCACTTACACATGATTTCATATGATTGTGAACAATAAAGAATTTCCACTGAAACAGAGCTATCTGTTTTTGTTTCAGTAAAGGACTCAGAATAGGAATATCCTGCCATGTTACATTTTTGTGACCTATGCTACACAGCATCATAAGGCACTTAGGGCTTCATTCTGGCACATAATGCTGTTTCTACCTCTAGCAGTTATTCTTCTACTTTCGTCTTTCATTTCTTAGATGCTCTATTTTGGATATCCAGATCATAAACATTGGGTTGTGTAACCAGCAAATAGATCAAAGATTTCCCCAAAATTAGATGAAGCATGCAAATCGGTCATACATATAGAAAATGACAAGAATGAAGGTCTTAGTATTTTGGTATAAAAGTTTAGCTATTTCCAAGACAATTTATCTAGTACACAGACTAGAACAAGTTTTGAAGCCTGGCAGCATGGATTTATGCAGACAAATTAAGGAGGCCATACTTTTGTACTTCTTTGAACCTCAGCTTCCTCATCTATAAGATGGAAACAAGAGGAATATTTACCTAATATAGTTGTATATGGATTAAATGGCCCAATACATGCGAACTGTCTAGAATAATTCTTGGCACATATTTGGGAGACATAGTCAAAGATTGAAAGAGTGGGTTTTGGGGCCAACTTAGTTTTCATTTGCACTTTGTGTTCTCTACTTCCTATTTAGGAGCTCTAGGGAGCTAGGGAGCTCTGGTAGCATAGTGGTACAGCACTTGACTGCTAACCAGAAGGCTGGCGGTTCAAACCCACCAGCCACTCCTCGGAAGGAAGGTTGGGCAATCCTACTTCCGTAGTGATACTGCCTCGGAAGCCCAAGGAGGGGTCGCTATGAGTCGGGGCCGACTCGACGGCAAATAACAACAACAGCAACAGTAGCATAGTGCCTAAGGCACTTGACTCCTAACCAGAAGGCTGGAGGTTCAAACCCACCAGCCACTCCTGGGAAGGAAGATTGCGCAATCTACTTCCATAATGATACTGCCTTGGCAACCCAAGGAGGGGTCGCTATGAGTCGGGTCCGACTTGATGGCACACGACAACAACAACAACAACTTCCTATTTATATGCATAAAGAAAATCAATAAGTTTGCAGTTTCTTTATGTGTAGAATGGGCAATGAAGAATACCACCTTTGCAACTTTATATAAATATGCAATGAGACAAAAATTATAAAGATCTGAACATAGCCCTTGACATATCATAAGTACCCAAGAAATAACAGGCAGATACATAAAGCAGATCATTTTAGAATGTGAGTTCAAACAGAGGAAAGAAAGCAAAATCTTCAGAAAGACTTCAATGAAATCTGTTGCTGAAATGAAACCTGAGTAAGTGCATCTATATAACGTAAGACTAGGAATGAAAATGTATAATGTCATTTAAATCATACCCATAATTCATCATTTGAATTAATTAAATTAAATTAAATACAATTCTTAAAATATATAGTATTGTCTTATATGAAGCACCAACATGGTGCTTTAGGCACTTTGGCCAACAGATAAAAAGCTGTTATAAATATTTTAATATGTGCTGTTGTTATATAAATTAAGGAGCACTGGTAGCTCAGCAGTTAAGCATTTGGCTGCTAACTGAAAGGTTGGCAGTTCAAACACACCAACAACTCCATGGGAGAAATATGTGACAGTCTGCTTTCTGTAAGGATTTACAGTCTTGCAAACTCTAGGGTTTCCTAAAGGGACAATTCTAATCTGTCTTATAGGGTCGCTAGGAGTTGGACTTGACTGGACATCAATTTATTTATTTTTTTGTTATAGAAATTAACCGTGAAATAAGAAAACCCTTGAATCTTTGGATTTCTATGTTCACTGCTGTGAGGCAAATATTGGCTAAGATGTTTATCAATGTTCAATTTGAAATGTGATTAATTTAGATAATTATTGAAATAAGTTGTCAAGAGCTAAAATGTTTAGCATTTTAAAAAATCGACCAACTTTTCATGGTGGATGTCAGTTGAATACTGATAAGTCAAATTTTCCAGAAACAAATGTCATTACCTGACATTGAATGACAAGTGGCTATATTCCAGTGGATTAGGAGTATTGCATTTTTAAAGCCTGTACTTTTTTTATTGTAAAAATATATATAACACAACATTTGCTACTTCAGGATTTTTTACATGTACAATCTAGTGACATTAATCATATTGTGTAAGTAACCACTAATATCTATTGGAGTATTAAAAATTTTAATATTTTCAGTACATCTAAACTTGACTGTAAATGACAATGACTTGGAGGAGGATATTAAGAGAAATCCAGGCCCCACCTTTGGACATAATGCTTCATTAGGTCTAGAAAATGATCAAAAGTCTGTACTTATGAAAAGCCTTTCAGATGATTCCAGTGATCCTCTGATTTTTGGACTAATACAGCTCTGTTCCAGACTCAAGAAATAACTCTTGAAAATTTCCATAAATCATTACAAAGATTTAGATAAATATCCTCTGTAGTAATGTATATGTGATAATTTGTGAATCATTTTAGAGGCAATTTAATTATGAGGTATATTATAGAAGACCTGGTTTGCTTTTTGGTTTTAGTTAATTATAGAAATAAATGTTTTAAAAGGCTCAGTCTTAAAAAGTAGGTTTTTGACATTACGATTGCTGTAAATTTTGTATTTCTGAAAATATTTCTCACCAAGACACACTATGGGCGATTTGTATAGTGGGTATTTTTAAAGCACAAAATATTTATGTTTCTTATTTTTATTATTTGCTTCTTAGGCTACATAGCCAGTTTAGAATTAAGCTATATGTGTTGAATTAAAAATATTTCTCTTGGAATCTATTATTTTCATAATACTTACAATTTAATTTCTTTCTCTCTCTTTTTAGCAAGAGTTCTTGCAGTGTCTTAGCTACTCACAGAACTTTTTTGAAGCAATATCCTAAAATATTCCTGCAGAGAAAAGTCAGGCTGCCTAAACTTATCACACTGGAGACAAAAAGGTAATGATGTCTTTTGAAAGCAAAGTTGATGGGTGTGTATGTATGAAAGAACAAATGGAACTCAAAATCAAAAAGCGTTGATCAGTTCCCAGCACTCAGTGCTAAGGAGCAGCCTGTAAAATGAATAGGGATTAGTATGCAGGGGTAAATTCATTTTCTGGTTGAGCAGAAATATCTCTCCGTTGCAGTAGATCATATCTATTCAAACATTTTGTCAAACAATTGTTAGTATTTTACTGATAAATGTGGTGTTTATGAAAGGTCTTAATTTCTCTAGGGTTTCATGAGGAACTTCATCAAAGAAATACTGGCAGTCCCAGGTTACAAATGTCTGATTTACAGGCAACTCATGCCTGCCCTTTAATGTTGTGTAAATTTGTTTTGATTTTGAAATGACTGAACCAACTCCTACTCCCAACAAATTCTTCATCACAATCACCTTCACTTGCAAGTGCAGTTTTAGATCGTTGAAAAGGCTTCAAGCCTTTTCTTGAACTAAAGTAAGGCTAAATAAGAACTGTATGCATCTGTTCAGACTTACCAACAAATTCAACTTAAGACTTACTTATACTTAAAGAAACACTCAGCAATGGATCTCATTCATAACCTTGGGATTGCCTGTAGTTAGAGTTGGTGGGTGAATATTTGGAGATATGTTATGTATTATGGAATGAATGACAATATTAGACAGTTTCTGAAAGGCGTTTGAGAAGTGGTTTTTACTAGGCTCCTGATTCTAGGTGGACTTGTATTTAAGTGCATATTATATATTTTCAAAGGCAAAGAAGGAGACTAAAGTGTGTTGCAGAATATGAGACTGCCCTTCCTGGAATGGATTGTCTGCTACCAATTGTCCCCAGCCCCAGTGGCGGTATAAGGTTCTTACATCAGTGTGGTGTCAGATCCCAAAACACATTTCAATATCATCCCCGCAGTTGTTCACTGGACATTTTGTATTAGACATGCAATATTCTCCTCCTACTACTCAAGTAGAATTGGTTTGATCACCCTTCTGACCACCTCATTGCCTTTCTCCCTGATTGTTCCTCTGTATAACTTCTATTACGAGCTCTGGTAGTATAATGCCTAAGACACTTGACTGCTAACCAGAAGGCTGGAGGTTCAAATCCACCAGCCACTCCTCAGAAGCAAGGCTGGGCAATCTATTTCCATAGTGATACTTCCTTGGAAACCCAGGGGGGGTCTCAATGAGTCGGCTGCGACTCGACAGCACATAGCAACAACAACAACAACAACAACGTAACTTCTATTGCCATATCTATAAGATCATATTTCATTTATGATTTACTAGCTAGTATTTGTATTTCTGACCCTTAGTATATGGACTGACACATAATTGGGACTAATAAGTGTTTTGCTCCATGAGAACTGTATTTGCAGGCTCTAGATAAGGGAAGTGATAAAGAATATGTTTTTATTTATTTATATCAATAACATAAAAATAAAAGTCCAAACAGAATTATTGTAAAATATATATTTCTGTGGGCTGGTGGGTATCAGCATGGGAAATACTGACCCATTTTCATGATATAGAAACTCAATCACAGTACTCAAACATCTCAAGCCTTTTAAGCATTTTTGACTATGTGCATACTGATGAAACTATGTCTGTTGAATTACTACTCAATAGTAGTATGGAAAGGTAGCCAGACTTGACAAGAACGACTAAACCCTGGACCATAGGGCATGTTACTAATCTTTGGAAAGAGTCTCCATCTTGAGAGGAAGTAGATACCTAAAGCTAGTAATTTAAGAATGATGAAGACTGGAGAAATTCACCTAAGAGGGTGAACATTTGTAGGGTTCGCTTTTCAGCACCACTTCCTTCTTATTTTAGTCTCAGGGTTCCCAGCTTAGTCCATGTCCTTATTACGGTACTGTTTCTGACCCCAGAATAACAAACAGTTATGTGTTTATGACCAGTCAACCAGAATTACAGTAACTAGTTGAAGCATGGTCATGTAATCAAGCAATTGCCCACAGCCACAGAGAGAGGGGTAGTACTGTTTGAATAGCTGGTTTCAGCCATTCATGAAACTAGAACTTCCATTGGACTGTTGCTTGAGCAAATAGATTTTCTCTTTTTCCACCCAAGCAAGGATCACTTAGTTTTCTGTCACTTGTAACCAAAGGAATACTGACTGATAGAAAATTAAAAGGAATTTTGTAGTTTTTTTTTTTTTTAGTTGGTTTAATGCTATAAGTTTAAGAATAGATGAAAGATGTAAAGCCTTTCTTCAGTTTAAATACAATTAATAGATGTCTTGTTGATGGTAAAAATGATATCACTTCAGGTTCTATTCAGATCCTTCATGTAACGTGAAACACACATATATATCCAGATGGTGGAAATAGAGCTCAGGTAAATCAGAGAATCTTTTAGCAGCATAAAAATGAAGAAGAAATCTTACCAGACCAAATGCCTGCACTATTTAGCTTATTCATCAACAGTCTTTACCTATTGTACTTGTCATATTCAACACTCTGTAATTTCCCTTAATGCAAATATAACGTGACAGCTACATTAACAAGACCTTAAAGTGTGCCACCTGCCAGTTTGTAGGCAGATGCTGAGAGTGGCTGAAGCCAAAGCATTTGTGAAATACTGAAAGTGGACAGTCATGTTCAAGGAAAGGAGAAGGAATGCTTCATATAACAATTGTATCCATTTGGAGCAATGTCATATTAATGAAAATAATCAGAAATACTGGCTAAGACATTGTCAAGGGATTCCACCTGAGCTCAAAGGTAAGAATAGGACAAGAAGGAGCTCAAAGACCGCTTGGAACTGCAGTCGTTATCTAAAAGTAGATTTATTCATGGATTAATTAGACAAGGTAAAGTTTTGGTGTATCCATGGATGTAGGAAATCAAGTAAAGAGGCAGCTGTGTGAGCACATGTAAGAACACAGCATTTTGACCTAGAAGACTTGGGTTTGAGTATTTGTTTTGCTCAATAGTAGCAACATGACTTTGGAGCAGTCACTTACCCTTAACTGTCCTCATTTTTTCCTTGCAGAGGTATGGACTGAAAGAAATTTTTAACTGTACTTGCTCTTATTTTTATTTTGAACTATAGAGGACAATGATGCCTTATGTAGATTAAACGATATGTCAAAAAATTTCTACCTTTTTCAAACAGGTTAAAAAAAATGCAAATCATACATTATCAGCCCCAGGGTTACAGGTGAGGAGAGACAACGCAGGGACGCCCAGAGTAGCAGGCTGGAAGAGCAGGAGAAAGGGGATTAAAAGCCAGGAAGCCAGACAGAGGAACAGTCAGCCACAGGGACCCAGGTGGGGGTGATACGAGAGGTCTCCAAC